TAACCATGAAGATAACTCAAGAGAGTGATTCAGATAAACTGATTGTCCTGTGGAATAAGACATACAGCATTTTAGTAAAATAGTACTCAAATTTAGGCACCCTGGATTGCAGCCTTTGCTAAATGGAACAATCCACAGGGCTAATGAATAAGCTCTGCTTGCAGTATACTCCTGGGTTTACTGGTGATGAACTACACACATGCTTGATGTTTAACAGACATTGCCTTGAATTAAGTCTGAGACATATGGCAGCCATTACTGAAAGAAAGGAATGCATTTTTTCACTGTCAGCAACTCTGATGTTGAAACAGAACAACAGCTCCTAACAGTTGTACTCCCAGTTGTCCATATCTCCTCCCAATGGATCTTGCTTTATCTGTTCTAGTCCTTCTCAAGCTTGTGAGCTGTTTTAGTTTCAAGTAAGGACATTGCTCTGCTGAAGGAGATGTTACTGCCCCATGGGGTTGTGCTCCTCACTTTTTTTATATATTTTTTAATACAAACTCACTTGATTAACAGTGTTGGTTGCCAGGAGACATATGGAATCTGTAATAGCTTAAGACATCTTTCTCAAACTAGAATACTCCCAACAGTATCTTTTAAAAGGTCTCCAAAATTCATAGTGGGTATCCACAGTATTTTTACTGTAATAACTTTTCCACTTCCTTTTTTTGTCGTGCAAATACCTACCATAATGTTACTTTTTGGGAGGTTGTTCATGATCTCAAAAGCAGTTTGTATTTCATTGATATTTGCCTTTGATGGCTCAGCTTCACAAGATAAAAATTACCTCATTAACACAAAATTCTTAGCTGCCTCTTACTGCAAATGAGGTCCTGGAAAGTGTCTCAGGTTGGACACGCAAAGCAAAAAGCCTCCCAAACCATTAGTCATTTTTTAAAATCTTGGCTGTGGTCTTTTATTAGTCTGTAAAACTTTATCACCATATAGTGCACCCCTTAAATAATAAATAGTAACACCAGATGATGGAGGACTGAACAAAACCAATGCATGATGGAGAACATGTGCATAACCTTGAAGGTTTCATGGAAAGCAAGCCTTTCTGTGAAATCTGCTTGGACACCCAAGTAACCATGTGTTCCTGCAGAAATATTTCCAAAACTTTTAAGTGCATATGACAATATATATTACAGTCATTATAGCCTTTCTTCCTAATTTTGGGGACAATGCTTGTCATTTTTTTCTGCCTTGTTTGCATAAGAAGAAAGGAAAATTCACATTATTGAGAAAGTCTTAGAAGATGTATTTTGCTGGTTTTTTCTCCTAGTGAAGAGCTCCTTCTTTGAATGGGATGGCAATATATGTTTGATAAGAATCAAATATCTGGCCTCTAAATCCACAAAGGGCAGACTGTGACCCCTTGTTGAACAGTATTTCATACAAATAGTACCACTGCCTGCCACAAGGTAACCAGCAAGTCCCTTTGCCACTGACATTCATCTTAATACAATGAATATCTGTATGTGATTAGCAGGTTAAATTAGCAGGTAAATTCAGACCCCCATGAAGAATAAGATAAATCAATCTTTTTTGTAGTTAAATGTAAACATCTGGCAAAATGAATGTCACAACAGATATCTGCCACCAGTGTAGCAGATATCAGTGTAACATTCATGACAGAATGTTACATTCATGACAGTTCATTCTTTAGTGATGAACAGACTTCAGTGCCTTCATATCCTCTTTACATATTTTGTGAAGATTTAGCACAAATGCAAGCCAGTTTTATATTGCATTGCCTGGCTCTTACAAGAATCATAGATGCACTTTTCATGGTGAAGCCTTCTTAAATCAAACAACTGGACACACAACTATTTTAAGCTTCATACAGTGGTGCCTCTGCCTCTGCCCATCTATCTTTGGTGGACTTCATCTGACAAGCATCCTTATCACTGTCACTAATGTGTGAAGTGGGCCTGGTGTGAGAGGTCAAATGAAACTTTGCAAGTCCTAGGTGTTTAAAGTGGCACTCCTGACAAAAAAGTTAGAACACCTAATTTTTATCTTTATAATTAGTATGTCTGCTTAAAACTAGGTATGTATGTAAATTAATTTAATCTAGTTTAAACTATTAAAATATTCTACTTAGTATACCTGAAGGAATCCAATTTAATACCTGGTTTATAAGAAATCCCAAATAATTTCTAAGAGGTGAAAGGTCTGGAGTTCTAGCAAAGTGAAATGCTTAACCACTTGTTTTATTTTTAAGCACATATTTAAACCATGAAAAATTATTAGTTTTAAGGATGTACTTTTTCCTAAACAAAAAATAGGGGAGTAGAAACATATACACATGAAAGAAAAATTATGATGTATTTAACGTTAGCCTTACTGAAGTCAGAGAAATCTGCCCATGTATTTAAGGTTTGCTTTCCTGTTTTTGATTACTTTTTGTCTACTCTACATCTAAATTTCTTTTGAGACACTCTTAGTTTAAAAGGAAAAGTATTAAAAATTATGAAATAAATTGTTACAGGTTTTATTGTTAAAATCAGTCAGATGAAACTTGAAATAATTATGTAAACAAGTTTTAAAACTCAGTCATAAAAAGTAACAGGATATATTTTATGTTTTCAATATTTTCTTTAGCTTTTTCCTTAAAATATTTATGCCATTTTTCTGGCTTTAAATGTGGATAGATTTCCTGATATAAAGTTGTTACTTTAAGTTTGGACCAAAAAAAGTAAACAAAAATCTTCCAAAATACTTAATGTGAGAAATATGTGTCTAATCTTTGGACTTCAAGCTGGCTGGAAAGAGTTTAGTTCAGATCAAATATAAAACAAGAGAATTGCAGGAGGCACTGGAGATAATTATAACTTTGTAGAAATATATGTAAATATCTCTCTGAACAAAAAGGAAAAGGTAAGGCTTAATCTTTAGAGAACTGAAAATATGTTATTAAAAAATTCTTAGCAAATTGATTTTGATCTCTTCTTCTCCTAATCAAGATTTTTTTCTTTAAATGGAATGACAGCATCTGCATTTGATAAAAATCAAATAAAATATTTCCGTAGAAACAGATGGCACTGGTTTTAATTCTTTGTGGCCAGTTCAGGTATTATGAGAATGAATTATGATGTAAGTGAACTATGCATGTAAAGTATCTTCTAACAAAAATGTTGAATAAATCTAAATTTTGGGTTACCTGTTTCATCTAGACTAGTTCCTCTCCTCTGCTAGAACATAAAAATCAAATGCCTTCATCTCTGTGGCTGCTTGCTATTAAGGCCAGGATTTCCTTCTTTTCCTGCATAGGTGCTGAGGTGCCTGAGCTATTTTAGGGGTTAAAAGCTGTAGCCACTGATGCGTATATATGAGGCTGTATTCATAGAACACTGCTTGTAGCCTGACTCAGGCTATTACAGTCTAACAACAGGGACCAATAGAAAGAGGAGAAGATCCAAGAAAGCTGAGGTAAGCACAAACTCTGAAGCAATGTCAGATTAGAAGCAATAGCTAATAAGGTGTGTATGGAAATACATCTGGGAATACTAGTATGTACGTCCAGTTTTATATGCTGCTAATTCTGAGGAGGATAGGAAGCAAACACAGTGGTTAGCAGCCAAAAGCTCTGAATTTACAGTGATTTCTAACTGGCTTCAGATAGCTCCAGGAACTTGACTAACAAGGTAAATTGCTTTAATCTTTTTTTTTTTTTTTTAATGCTATTAAGGCTATGAATATTTACACAGTAATAAGGTTGTGATTTTACTGTGTAAAAAAGAGATGTTATTCTTTAGAAATATTTTATTTGTCCTTTTTCTTTGGAATGTCTCCAGATAGCAATGTCTGGGGCTGGATGATCTGTAAGAGACTACACTTGTTACTGCTAATAACAGTGTTGAAAACTATTACATTACTACATATCTTATGCAGAAACTTAACTGAGCTCTTAACCTTACTGGTGCATTAATCCTATGAGAAAATTTACTTTTTATTTAAATCCTATCTTTAAAAAAAAACTAAGCTAATTTTGACCAGAAATTTCAGCTATCAGTCTCTTGACTCTGCACTGCAAAATTCTTGTTAATCTTCATCGTGCAGCAAGCAAGACAACAGAGTTTTTAAAGCATTGATTTTGTGCTACACAAATATTTCCTTTTGGATCAAATTATCAGTAATAATTTAATGGTGGAAGAGGCTAAACAAAACAAAGAAGTAGGTAAAATAGATACAAGATGCATGAGTGTGCATAAAATAAGTTAGTTAGAATTTACTTTTTGTGGGTATGATTTGGTTAGAACCTATTTTTTGTGTCATTTAGATAGGGCATTTGTTTTGTCTGTTTGCTTTAGAAAAGGAAATTTGTAACTTTGGATATGAGGGAGTGAATGAAGCAGGGAATGGACTAACCAAACATATTCTCTTCAAACGTTTTAACAATGTGCCCAACAAACAGCTGTTAAAACACTATTTGATCTTTCACTTTTCAATGAAGAAAAAAGACTCTGGAAAATCTGATCCAGATGCCATTATAATTTAAGAGAGAGCAAAAGGGAAAAAGGGGTATGATTAATTTTAAAAGGAGGAACAGTCAGTACAATAGTATTTGTGTCATCATGGTAAAGATATCTTTTCTGAAGATTGTTCATTACATAATGTAGATTATAAGTCTGTACAGAAAAAGTTAAACAGATTTATAAGAAGCACTGATTTAATGTCAGACAAATGATCCCTGTTTTCAGGTTCTTTGAAATTACACTTGCATGATCATCAGTTAAACTGGTAGCCAATGTGGAATCTAAGCTGAATGAGGGAAATGTTCATCAACATATAGCACTGGATTTTTTATACCTCTTATATTACTGTTTCTTTTTCCTTAACATGGCATGGGTAATACCCTAGGGGACAGAATTTGGCTGTTTATAAAGGAAGTATTATTTAATATGCAAAACTGCTTTGTTAATCTAATATGCTGCTATAGAATTCTGTTGAGAGACACCTAATTTTTTTTTTCCCCTTCAAAGGCAAACACAATGATCCTAAAAGTCTATACAAGCCTTTTGCTTTTGTTCTTGGCCAATTCTGTATGGACTCGAACTGTGAGACAAGTTTATGATGATCTGGATCCTGAGCATTGGTCTCACTACACTTCTGAGTGTCCACAAGAGTGCTTTTGTCCTCCTAGTTTCCCCAATGCATTGTACTGTGATAACAAAGGACTTAAAGAAATACCTGCAATTCCAGCAAGAATTTGGTACCTCTATCTTCAAAACAATCTAATTGAAACACTTTCAGAGAAGCCTTTTGTGAATGCCACTCATCTGAGATGGATAAATCTGAACAAGAATAAGATCACAAACAATGGAATTGAGAGTGGTGCACTGAGCAAGCTGAAAAGACTGCTTTACTTATTCCTTGAAGATAATGAATTGGAAGAGGTGCCTGCCCCATTACCAGTGAGCCTGGAACAGCTAAGACTAGCTAGAAACAAAATCTCCAAAATACCAGAAGGAGTCTTCAGCAACTTGGAAAACCTTACTATGTTAGATCTCCACCAGAACAGTTTGCTGGACAGCGCTCTTCAAAGTGACACCTTCCAAGGACTCAACAATCTTATGCAACTCAACATAGCAAAAAATTCACTCAAGAAAATGCCTTTAAGCATTCCAGCTAATACACTACAGCTGTTTTTGGACAACAACTCCATTGAAGTTATACCAGAAAACTACTTCAGTGCAATACCCAAAGTCACTTTTCTTAGGCTGAACTACAATAAATTATCTGATGATGGTATCCCTCCAAATGGGTTTAATGTTTCATCTATTCTAGATCTACAGCTGTCTCACAATCAACTCACTAAAATTCCAGCAATCAATGCTCACCTCGAGCACCTTCATCTCGATCACAACAAAATCAAAAGTAAGTGCATATTGTTGGTGTGGGACCCTACCAAGACACAATTATTTTCAAGTGCCTACTTAACTACTGAAAATACTCTATGAAATAAAGTGATTAAAATCATAGAATCATTGAATAATTTGGGTTGGAAGGGATCTTTAAAGGTCATTTAGTCCAATCCTCCTACAATAAGCAGGAATGTCTTCAATAGATGAGGTTTCTCAGAGCCCTGTCCAACCTGACCTTGAAAGTTTTCAGGGGTGGGGCATCTACCAACTCACTGGGCAACATGTTTCAGGGTTTTACTGATTTTACAGAAGCTTTGTTCTGTGAATACGTGTCTCCTCAAATGTCTTCCAACATCTTCCACTTTGTGTAAATAAGGCAAGGTTTTGTAGCCAAGACAGCAGAAGCCTGTTGTCATGCTATAGTTCCATTCCTAGCACTGCTTCTGAATTCATCCAGGTATAGTGGGGATATGCTGGTTAGGAACATCACATATTTTATATATCAGAATTATCTGCTTAGTAAATCCTTTGTTTCATACCAAAAGCCAAAATAAAAGTGATGACTTTCTATTTATTACTTCACAGAAGGATGTAAAGCATTTATATTTATCTTCCTGTCATGGTGATTTAGTTGATTACACAGTCCCTTACCACTTCTTAGTGCCACTGTAGTTCACAAATATACTAAAAATTATGGTTTGGCTTTTGTATGAAACAAGGACCCATGAAAGGAGGATACTTATTCATAATTTAGGTTAATTTGCTGCATTTTACAAAATAAATGTATGAAATCTTGTTAAATTTATTTTTTTTTTTTTGTACAACTGCCATACATTTAAGTGGTCTGAAAGATTTCTAACAGTTAATTAGGAGTTAGGGCTTATGACATATGTTGTTTCTGAACATATTTAATTGCCCTCTGGTTATGAAGGGATTTATTTTCATTGCTTCACTACAGGGCCTCAAGTGCAGGTTTTATCCTGTCACATTAGGTGGACACTAGATTCAAATCATTGGAATGTGGCCTGTCTAGTTTAAGAAGGATTTTGTATCTAGGTAGCATTTAAGGAGCTGCCCAATTATCTTCCTTTGAAGTTTGATAGAGCTTAAAACCATGAAAATCAACTTGTGTAGTATGTGCAAGCTCAAGTCCTGCTTTCCAGTGATACATGGGTACCTGTGAAGCTAAATCACAGCAGCTTTCCACAAGCCTTATATTCCTTAGTGCCTTTGCCACTTCTCAAAATTCATTGTCACCTTAAGCTCAAAACTACTTTTAATTAAAATAATAAAAAAAGTTTTAAGTCTTAGTAAACTGCATATGAAGTAGTAGAAAAAATATTAAAAAAGTTAACTTGATACCTTAAATGAAAATCAGGTATTATGTAAAGCACATTCTACAACATAGCATAATTGTTCAAGAGGTAAGGGTTAATGATGTAGTCTTCATGGGACACTGCTCTAATAGGTGACATCTCAAAGGGCCTTTAATATTGCAAACAAGCAATGTAATTTCATCAGGCTGGAGTAACAAGATGTGTCATTACTGCATATTCATTTTGCCTTCTTAAATGTTGGAACTGATGATCAATCACTCCTTTAAGATAGCCAGTGTAAATTTTTGAAAGAAGAATAACTGTAATATCCTGGATCTGGTTTCTCCACAAAAGAGTCCTTATGAAGGTTTACTTTTATGTGTGCGGTACTAACCCTTTTTGTAATATTAATTCTCATATATTCCTGCACAACGGTAAGTCACTACTTCATTTTCTCTTGGTAATTCATAGTTATAATCCTGGCATTGCAAGAACTCAGTCATCAACATTTCTATGTAAATATAGTTTGCCTGTGTTTTGTTGTATGTTATTGTTTAATATCAGTTCTTCATATAAGTGCAAGGCCTTATTTCTCCAGAGACCATTTATGAAGATATAAGGCCTTCACTGCCATGGCACTCAGTGCCACATCCAGTCTCATCTTAAAAACCGCCAGGGATGGTGAATCCAACACCTCCCTGAGCAGCCCATTCCAATGCCCTCTGTAAAAAATTTCTTCATAATATCCAGCCTAAACCTCCCCTGGCACAGCTCAAGCCCGTGCCCTCTTGTCCTACTGCTGGTTGCCTGGGAGAAGAGACTGACCCCCACCTGGCTACAACCTCCTCTCAGGCAGTTGTAGAGAGTGATGAGGTCACCCCTGAGTGTCCTCTTCAGGTTTAACCCCAGCTCCCTCAGCCTCTCGAATCCCTTCACCATCACTAGTCTCAGTGGAACAAGAATTTCACCTGTGGTCCCTTCCCTAAGGATCTCAACACACAGATAAAAGAAGTACTCAAAAGTTGGAAGTAAAATCAACATAAAATCAAAACTAATTATGGCTCCAACATTTGCACAACTCTTGTTCCACAGTATTTTAAAACACACATGCTTACATATTTATCTAGGAGATACATCTTTGAGGCTCTGGGGAGATGTTAAATAGTGGAAAAGTGAGTGTTAAAAGAAGCAAAGAGAAGGCATGAAATGATGGTGTAGCAAGTGAGCAAGGACTACATGGTGGTATTACAGTGCTATCAAAGGACAGGTAAAAGGAAGTGAATATTAAGTTCTGCAGAAGAACACCAGGAGTTTGGGTGCTAAGCTAATGTTATTCCATATGCAGAGAAAGGGAGAAGTCCTTAGTAGCTAAATTATGAAGTCCAAGTAGCTAAATTATGTTTCTAAATTATGAGTTTTGCTGAAGAAGAAACAGGATCTTCTTCAGTTCTTCATCAGACATACAGCGTTAGACTTTAATAAGAACCTTTCTGCAGTTTTCCCTTACAGCAGCTCCAGAGTCTCTTCTTTAAATATTATACCACATAATAATACTGTTGACAAGCAGTGGAATTAATTTTCTTTAAAATAACTATTCTAGATTTTTATCTAGTTTGGGTTAGTTATACCGACCAGTTGCTCAATTAATGCAAAGAGATACAGAATTGCAGGGGGAAAACCATCCCATCTTAAGGAGCTGTAAATCACCTTTTGGAAACATTCATCTCTCAGTTTAAAAACAGTCCAAATGGTTTAGTTACACTGACAATCTCTACATGGATTAGTTTAGGTAGAGTGAATTGTACTTATGTAGATGCATAGGCCTGTCTCTCCTGCTTAAACAAAATTCAGTAATATACACATGAAGAGGTTTGAAAGAGAGGAAGAGGGAGAGGCTCTTACTCCTCTAATAGTTTGGGTAGGATTTACTGTTAATGGGATGAGAAAAATAAACCAAACCACTTCACATCACATATCATCAAGAAATAACTTCTTCATAGGTGGTCTGTGGTTAGATAACTGTTGTCTCACTTTAAGGCTAGAGTAATTAAACCAGTTAAAATAAGTGCAGTGAGATGATAGTTTCTAGGTCAGAAAAGACAAAGATTTAGAACACACTTGAAGCCTTCTTGTGTTCTACAGACAATAGTGCTGACCAGAAAAGGTGGATATTTTCTGCTACATAATGTTGATCCCTGTAAAACTTGTAATAGCTGCTTTCGTAATGAAAACTCTCAAGCTTTCTGCTTCACAAATAAAAATAAGCTGTAGCTTGTTTCTTCCAAGAATATCAAAAACTTTGCCAACATTAATCAAATTTCACAAGATAGATATCACAGATATGACAAAAGTTTCAGGCTCGGGCCAACTGGATGTATTTAACTAGTTTCCATGAGAAAGATAAAGTCCACTTCCAAGATGTTGCAAAAATCTGGGAAGTTGTTCAAAGTAGAGTGAAGGGTTTTCTTTTGAGAAAAAAAAAAAGTAATTTACATTGTGATATTTTACATCATAACAATTATCTGACTTGGGATACTGTAATCAGAAGACGTGTGCATATTATCGTTGTTAAATATAAAGGGAGACAAATTTTGCTAGAAATCTGAGTTGGTAAAAAAGTATTTTTCAAAAGATCTGTTACATACACATTCTCCATTCATTTTTTTTCATTTGTTTGGGAGCCAGGAAGATCCTCAGGCCATCAGACCAATCACTAAATACCATAATTTGATCAAAGGAATTTGACATCTTTGATAAACAAACACCACTTCAGTATTTTCTAGAATGAGTTCATTTTGAGCTGAAATAGGGCAGCAGCTGCCTGACTATTCAACAACTGAAGACAAAATAAGAAAGGTATCTTAACCAAGTGCAGATGTAACCTAGAGGAGACAATGTAGAGCCCAAGCCATTCAACACTTATGAATATAGGTAATGATTTAAACCACAGTTTCAAATTTTATCTGAACAGAAACAAACTATGTGTGATGTATAAAGAATGTTAAGGATTTGTTGGATTTCAGATTAGAAAGAAAAATAACCCATTGTAAAATTATATTCTTGCAACTGAAACCAACTCTACTGAAGAATGTGAGAGAACAGGAAAGTACAGATGTTAAAAGCTAAAAACACTAAATGAAAATTTCCTCTGATTCAATGCTGCTATTATTTTGAATGAAGGATCTTCATTAGGGAATTTTATCAGCCTAAAATTAATGTACTGTCATTGAAATAAGATGTTCAAAACCTCTCAGCATTAATCTCTTCCTGCTCTCTCAGAGGATAGAGAGCTATTTCTCAATGCTTATCATGTAGTGGCTTAAATTAGTGTACTCTCTGTCCAAGGCAAAATTATGCATCTAGTGACCTTTATTCATAATTGCAGCACAGTAAATATGTGATTCACTGATCAAGATTACATTATATTAAGATTTTTTTTGATTCATCAAAAAAATATTTAATTGTTGGCATTTTACAAATCTGGTAGAAACAACTGTCTCCCATACAAATATCAGTGGAAACCTGCTTTATTTGTTGCCTAAATGAATTTTGTTCTCATGAACCTTCCCCATAGAAATTACCTAAAATGTTGATTTACATTTTCAGGTGTCAATGGTACTCAAATGTGCCCAGTCTCAATTGCCCTAGAAGAAGACTATGGTTATTACGGTAACATCCCTCGCCTCCGATACCTTCGTCTGGATGGAAATGAAATTCAACCTCCAATCCCATTGGACATCATGATATGTTTCCGACTACTTCAAGCTGTTGTCATATAAAGATATTGTAGTGTCACTCTTGTACTGTAAGAGTGCTAAAATACAAGTTTTGCTGGAATGAAACTTGGTCTAACACAGAAATCAAGAAATAACAGCTTTATTGGACTTTAATTTTTTTCTTTGCTTTTATCTTTTCTATGGCTGACAAAGATGTTCTTCTTTCAGAAGAGATTTTGTACAGACCTGAAACATGTGCTTAACACTTTACCCTAGAATTTCTAGTGGGAATATATTGAAAATCATCTGCATAAGATCCCAAATATTCCAAAGAACCTACTACACGGTTCTTATCAAATGCAACATCTACCAAGTTAACATCATTGCTATAAACAAATTATATTTCCTTATTTTGTTATGTAGTAACTAACACAGTGAATTTGGGTGCACTTGGCCAAATACATATACTAGTAAAATCATGAGCTGCATGACTACTAGTAATCAGAACTGTCAGTGTCATTTAAGATAGTGACTAGTGGTGAACAACCACTTAATGTGTACAAAACTCATAAATTGTTGTCATCATTTGAAGATTGATACTTTTAAGGCAGAAAGTACATGAGTCTCAGCATCCAAAGCAATATACTGAATATATATTGTCATAGGGATTCATTCAGTGAGTGATTTCAGAATTGGAATAGACTGATCTAACTTAAATCCAGGTACAAGAGAAAATCCTGTTCTATCAAAGTACCAATTTTCTGCAATTTTGTTCTTCAGTATTCCATTTCTAGTTTTGACACTATTTCTTTCTGTAACTTTGGGATAGTCATTGAACATTTAGTTAATTTTAGTTTCCACAGAGATATAACCAACAGTAATGATTACATATTTCACAGACTAGGTACTTCACAAAAAATTCAATGGTTAGTTAGTGCTATGGTGAGAAATAGAAAATAAATAAGATATACATCTCTTCCGAGTTATTTACTGAACTAGCCAAATATTTGCATAGGAATTGTATCAGTTTAAGCAAATAAAATCAACTTAGGGCAGTATTTAGCTATCTGTTAACTGATATACATGCACAGAGTAAAACTGGATTTTAGAAAAGTCCAGGTATGTAAAACACAGTACATTAACAATTCATTAACAAGGGAGATATCATCAGGCAACTTTTTATGAAATCTGATAGATGTTTTTTCTATTTTATAAAAATGGGATTTCAATAAATTAATAGTAGAATCAGTTATTCAATGTGAAACTATGATATTATTATTTCTGACAATCAGCACAACAAACTATCCAGTCATATTATTTTAATCTTCTTGCATTCGTAGATAGAAGTAATTAGTTGCTCTTTGATATCTTGCACCTATTACTAACATTTTAAGACTGGCCTCAATAGCAAGCATTTAAAGACTATGCATGTGGTATAATTTTTACTTTGAAGGCAAGGTATTTTCTTAAAAATAGATTTTAAAAACAGTTGAGAACTGCAGTTCTAACATTCAATCTTTTTTTAATGTGAAAATCAGGCCTTATTCTGCTTCAGAGTACTTGTAGAAATAACCTAGTATAGAAATCCAGCATACAAATAACCATTTCAGAAATCCTATCACAAAAAAATTTATTTTTGCTCTTCCTTTTATGTGATTGCTGAGAAACCCCTGCCCTTCTAGCAATATATTTTCTGTACATCTGTGTTCACCCAATATGAAAAAATACAGATTTAAAAGGTCTCTGCAATATGTATGCATGTTTAGCTATGTTCTTTACTCAATAATAGCATATTAATTTATTTTTTGAAAAAAAGGTGACAATACTACTAATTAAATTATAACAATAATTATGTTTTTGTACTTGGAAATCAATCTCCACTTTAAACAAAGAACAAATATATGTAGTCCAAAATATTCACAAGCATATATGCATAATATTATCATTATTTATGTTTCTGATCATACAACAAAGTATCTTGAAATTCCTATAAAAAATTATGACTCTTTTAGGTCCCCTAAAGGTTCATATTAAAGGAGAAAAGACTAACCCTTCCGCAAAGAGATGTCTAACTTACATATGAAAAGGGTTCATATGTAAAATCATAAAGAGACACTAGATCATCAAGGTACTCCATTTTCTGGATAGAGGTATTATGCAATGAAATCAGGAGCACATGCAATCATTTTTAACAGTTATTTTCACCCGCTGGCCTGCTATTTTTCCAATACAGTGTAGTGTGGAAATCCTCATAAATTAGTTCTTCAAAGGTCAGTGTTACCTAACGGAACAATCTTAGAACACATGCAGATAGATGCTCAAGATTTATCTCTCTCAAATGCCATTTAATCTGAGTGAAGAGAAACATTCATGATATATCCTTGGACAAACTTCTATTGGGCTGAAGAGCTGCTGCTGCTAAGTGCTTGCTCTACACCTTTGGTTCAACCCATTGACTCCACGTCTGGGAACTATGTAATAAAGAGAAAATCCTAAGTATCTTCACTGAGGGTAATTTGTCCCATCTTGACTTTCTCTACCAGAAACAGCACTATGAATTAGAATACTAAGTAGTTATGTTTCTGTAGTGACTTTCACAAAGTAAAGCAACCCTGATTGAGGGTTGAGCTGCTTTACTGAATACACATCCATTTGCAACAGTCTTAATATTCTTAAACATCCTACTAAAGTTGGTGAAATTTCCCTACAGACTACAAAAGCAGGCCTGAATTTCATTCTTGTGTGGAACTAAACAATGTAGGCTTTCAGCCATTACACATTATTTTCATTCATTGTACCAGAAGACTACAAAGGAATATGTAAAACACAGTGTCTTTTTCCCAATGCAGAGGGTCGTTAATACAATGTAAAAAGCATCACTGTGCTTGCAAGTCTGATGTTAATTCTTCCTAATTCTAGATTGCTCTAAAACTCTCCACTGACTTTTCTTGGTTTAGAAAAAACATGTGGTCTCGTCTGCTGAAAGGAGTGAGGAACACACCTCTCAGCTGTCCTGTCTGAACCCCTAGCTCTGGTCATGAAACAGCCATTTGTTTTGCTTATTTGCCAAAACACATTGCAAACAGTTTTGAATAGAATACCATATACAGAAACAAAAACATTTACAAGTATGAGTAACTGAGAACAAAATAGGTCACCACAAGTGCAATACAGTCATGGTCAATCACTAGCCAAACCACAAACACCTAGTGCTTTTTGCACAAATCCACTTTACATATGAGTTAATTTTGAAATTGTTTGTTAACACAGATGTGCTATCACCTCAGTACAGAGTACACACAGTTGCTATGCAAAGAAAAGCGCTAAAGTGAGAGACTCAAGAACTGAAAAATACCCAGACCTTTCTGACATGTCTTCTGTGACTGGAGGCCGGACACTGGATTTATCAAAAGGCTGTGGGGTTTTATAAACAGGTTTGGCTCTGCAGGAAGAAAGTCCTTAATAGATGCTGCCAGCATAGTTAAAAATTCAGCCATATGCATGAATGCCCCTCCTCCATAATCCTTAGCATTTTCTCTTTCTTTCCCAATATCCAGTTTATTACCACTTTCTTCTTCGATATTTTTAAAGAAAAACATGACCATAACAATCATCTGTAGATACCAGTGACCACTGCAGGCTGTATGACACTTGAAGTAAGAAGTACAAACACTGAGAGGTACAAATTTGGAAGACAAGTAGAAAATCAATTCACATGTTTGCAGTTATAACTCCAACACATATCCTGTGTCATTGAAGGGATTTTCAGTCACCCTTGTTGCACTCAAATAGTTTCCAATGTTGGCCAAAAGTATTTGCTGTCATTTTTCCAGCCTGGGAAAGTTATTTGCTAATATCATATTGCATCTAGTTTCATTACCTACCCAGAATCAGATTATTGTAAACTCTATATTTCTGTGTTGGTTGTTAAACAGTTAATATCTCTATTCTGCCATGTGTGGCTGAGAATCTTTGACATGGTTAAGTCAGCAAATTAACATCCTTCTTTTGATTGAAACCTCCTTAGTAATTGCATTTTTTTACATGGAATTGCTTACCCATTTAAACATGAAGGGAAGCTCTACAGGGCACCCCACTGTCTCTATAGTGGTGTTCAGGAATAGTAGCAAACGTTTCCAGTCAAGTGTATGAAGCAGTATCCATCACTAGCATCATGTTCTGCCCTAGCTAATTTACTGTCTTAGTAGAAGTAATATTGTTTCCGAGTCCTGTGCTTGCTCTATCAGTGTTAGTTCCAACAATCCTATACTGTAATGAATTTCAAACCTTTGCCTGCACTGTTGCCTGAATGTTCTTCTTACTGTTTTTGTCTCAGTTTCTGTTGCATTAGAGTGCAGAGGGCCACTAAGTTGATCAGAAAGTTGGAATGTCTCTCCTACGAAGTCAGCCTTAGACAATTGGGTCATTCAGCCTGGAGAAGAGAAGGCTTCAGAGAAGCTGTGGATGCTTCATCCCTATAATTGCTCAAGGCCAGATTAGGTGGGGCTCTGAGACACCTGGTCTAGTAGGAGGTTCACTGTCTATGGCAGGGCAATTGAAACTAGATGATCTTCAAGGTCCCTTCCAATCTAAACCACTCTATTATTCTATATCTGTTTGATCAACCTGTCTGGCTATCAGTTTGATTTAGTTTTGCTTCTTCGGTATTTATTAGCTTATGCATGTTAGAATACACAGTGCTAATGTCTGCTTTGATGTCAACCCTTTTCTGGTAGTTCACCTACATATGGGTTTCTCTGGGGGACATTCTGACTGCCACACTTACTGCAACAAACAGCATGCCCACCTCCTCCCATGTATGTGCTCACACCCAGGCTGATGTTGTCACATAGGTAGAGTATAAGTGGAAATCTCTTCTCCAAGGCTTTCTCTCCCCACTCTCAGTCTTTTTTGTAGGGAAGTTGGCAAAGAATCTGGAATCACATCTTCCACAAAAAAAGCTGTTCTTAATTAGGATCTGGGGCAATGAAAGTGGCGTGGAATCAGTAACACTCAGTAAAGCTAGGGTTTTTCAATAAATCATTTATTCATTAAAATAGTCT